TTGTATAAACAAAAACACTACGAAATGCTTGGAATGAGAATAGAAATTGGAATTTCATCAAAATTACAGAATTTAAAAGCAACTATTTAAAATATTTATTCCATTATGAAATTTGCATTTTTTATTTTTATTTTATAGTTAGAAAATTATATCAAAATTTTGCCATTCATGAAATATTTGCGAATCAGGAAATATTTGATTCTCAAGAGTTGTAAAATTTAAATTCCACATCCCATCATGAAAATATTCCTCTAAAATATGTAATTCAAAAAAAAGGGAAATTTTCAGAATATTTGACAAGAAATTTAATATTTAAATTTAAGTGCTACAATAGTAAACGAGGGATAAAATATTTTATTTTTAAAAAGGATTTCTAAAAATTAGAGCAGACATAGAATAAAGTTAAATAAAAATTAAGCCAAAAATTTTTTTTATGACAAATGGAAATGGAGCACAGATAAAGATTAGGCCAAATAGAGAATTGGACAAATTGAAAAATGAATTTCTATAGATCGGAATGAAAAAGTAATTTTGATAATAAAATCTTTTTGGCGCGTATAAAATACAAATTGATAAAAATGTATAGGGGAAAAGAAGAAATATAAAAAGAAACAAAGTGAGACGCAATGGAACCGGAGAATGCCCTTGCGGCAGCGTAACGACCTACCATCTTAGTTAATTGGCATCGCGAATGATGGATGTGTAACGTTATTCGGCCTCACTGCACCTCGCACATTTCTTGCAGATAGGATCCTTTTTGCTCACGCCCACACATTCTTAATACATTCTGTATACAGAACTTTAATGGTGGTAAATTGGCCAACTCGATAACATCACAAATATTATTCATGCCACCGCCAAAACAAAACCAAAAAAATATGGTTCATATACTTTCATATTTATTCTTCTTAAAGCGATACTTATTACACTTTAGTACTCGTTTTTCATTTCGGGAAAAAAAACACTTTTTATATACCTTTTAAGCCAACAGAATTATTCTTTGGTTAATTCAATAATAGTGTTTCTTAAAAATAGAAAAATATTTTTGTTTTCTTTATAAGGAATTTTTATATCAAATGACAAATTCGGACAAGTATTTGATTCAAATTTTTTTTTCTTCAAACATTTTTTTATTTACTTAAAAAATGTCTGTAGCAAAAAATTTTTTTTCTATTGATATTTGTTGAGTACATTGGCGAGTAAAATTTATTTCAGGGATTTTTGTATATTTATTCATTTTCCATTTCTCAGGAAGAGAATTAATTTAGTTGCAGCTATATTCTCTCCAAGAGTCAGTCAACAAAGCGTCAGCTTTGTCCTTTTAACTTTCAAGTCTGACACACACACACAAATACACTGGTCATTAAGACTATGTACTAAAAGGACATTTTTTACTTTGTGCCATTGTCATAATTTTATAGTCATTTTAGCGTCTTCTATTATTAAGATCTTAAGAGGAATTTCTCGTGCAACAAACACTGTCTAGAGAAGGGCATTCCATGTGAGATTTTTATTCAAAATTTTTGTTTTGTCTGGAACATTTTTTTCCAAATTTTTCCAAATAAATCCACATTAAAAAAACGGATTTATAGCTGTAAAATAAAAATTTTCACGATGAAATAAAAAATAAATTAATCACAGAAACTATAAAAATAAAAATTTTTTACCAAATAAGAGAGAAAAAAATTTGTTCGCACAAAATAAGTTATTATTTATTTTTTTAGAAAATTGCTCAATTATCGAGTGTTTGAAGAATGATTAATTATTATATATACAGTATTATAATAACAAATTTCTATAAAAACTATTTATATATTGGTTCTTTCAACAACGATTATTGATGAGACCCATAATGGTAATAAACCTGCAAAAACAACTTAATTCCCGGCCCTTTTGAATTTCATCAATAAATCACAATCTAGAGTATATACACACACCAGCGCCGATTATTTCCCAATAGGCGGATGAATTTGGAATTTATGGCAAAACGGCAACAACTATTGGTGGCTGTAAGAGAGTTGGCATCCAATATTTGTTCCGTGGTGCGTTTGTTACTTAGTCTGTATATATATGATGCTCGCAATGTTATGGAGAAAAAGTAAAATCTCCTCAGATTCTCCTGAGGCCATGAATTAACTTACTGAAAGTTCCAGGAGCGCGCATTATATATATATATAGATAGAGGGGGTGAAAAGTTATTAAGTCCATCTCTGGTATATAAAACAACCCCCCCTCCCCCTCTTCCTGTTCCCCTTTTATGGATGAGCTGACTTCACAGAAAAGAGTAATAGAATAATTAACTTTTGTGGGATTTATAACACATTTTCAAAAATTGATGCGCACACGCGTATGGCGAGAAAGATTTTGCCTTTTTTTCTATATACTCGCGTCTCTTTGATTTAAAACCACGCTGAAGATTTTATGGCATGGTACCGAATATACGTTTGCGTTTGTGAAAATAAATAAATATTTTTTTCCCATGCGTATAATGAATTTTTGTTATTATTTTTTTTATAAATATATAATTATAGAATTTATTAAATACGAACAGAAATGTTGGTGTGAGTCTTGTGAAGTATCTGGCAAATTTTTTTTATAAGGCCCTTTTTGGAAAAACTGGCTATAGGACCCTACAAAATTGTAACCCTGTTTGCTAATTAAAATACCCTATTTCATTACATTATTAATTTATAATAAATTTAATATTATATTTAAATAAATAATTTTTCATTTCTTTTCAGATTAGGAAAACTGATGAGGCCCCTGTCAACGCCATATTTCGAATAGGACGTCATTTCAGCACTGGTGAGTTAAAATTTTTTTTTTTATTTATTTTCTAACTATTTAGTATTATTTATTTAATTACTAGTTTATTTTCAAAAAGAATATTATATGTTTCACTGGTCAGAAAATGATATTTGCTTTATGTAGAGAGCTATTTTGGACATTATTGCGTCTCGTTAATTGATAATTAACATCTTTCAATTTCGCTAATTGAAATCCAATAAATGTTAGCATTATCACTTTCATTAATAAAGCACTTTTCAATATAATTAATAATGATAATAATAATAATTATTATTATTATTATTATATAAAATAATAAATAAGAATAAATCAAAATTAAACTTGGTTTGTTTATAATTTTCCAAATTAGGAAAACTGGCGAGGCCCTAACCAGCGCCCTATAAACTGTCACACTTTTGAATCAATGCCCTATTTGAAAAAAAACTAGTCAGAGGCATAGTAATATTAAAAATATATTTATTCTTGATAAAAAATTTTTTTACATATAAAAAATATATTATTAAGAATAAATTAGGAAAATTTATAAAAAAAATGAGTTTAATTAATTTTTTGCTAAATAGAAGAAAAGTTATTATTGATTTTTAAAGTATATGTTTTAGAGGGAGTAATTTTTTTTGTTTGTTTGTTTTTAATTATATTTTAAGGTAATTTAGTCGAATCTTTTATAGCTGAGAGGCAGCAAATTCACTTGAAGGTAGAGTGCAATATTCTTGCAACGTTATATAGTTGAATCGCGTCGTTTCGCGAAAATGATTTATTCGACGTTTACTCGCTGACTTTAGCTCTCATTAAAATACCCGGCGGGGCCGTCCGCCTCCCGGTGATTCCTTGCTTCGTTTTTTGACTGCTCGTTTTGTCTTTTCCATTGGACGAAAACAAAGCGAACGATAGACTCTCTGAATAGCCGAACAGATGCGACAAAATGGACCGAAAATGCCACACGCACAAGTCCCGCTTGATAATGTTTATTTCTTCTTTTTTTTCTTTCTCTCTTTTTGCACACAGACGAAAAAAAAGTTTTGAACTATTTTAACAATAACAAAAAGAGAAATAAAAAATCTTCAAAAGAAAAAACCTTTTTTATAATGAATTTTATTTTTGTCTAAAAGTATTTTTATGTTTTGTTGATATCACAAAATTTCCCTTTAAAAAAATTTTTCTGAGGGAAAAAAACTATCTATTTTAAAAAAATGAAAAAATTTTTATTTATCGAAAAGTTTCTTGTTGCGATTATTATTGTATAAAAAAATACTTGCAATGAAAATATATATTCATTTTTTTCCAAATTAGCCACGTTTATTAAAATAACTATGACAAATTTTTTTTTTTTTACCAAATTCATATATACATATATACACTTCTACTCGAATATTTGTTTCATTTTTTTTGTGCGGTAGCGGCTTTGTAAAATGTATTTCGCAATTTTTTTTCGGATTACGACTAAAGCTCTCGACTGTTAATTAAACTTTCAGTTGAACTAAAATTGTGTATTTTTTTTTTTTTTTTGAACTAAAATTTTACACATTCAAAATCTCTTCAAATCATTTTATCTAGGAATTTTGTTGCAAAAAAAATGCAATGTTCATATCTACAAAAATGTTCGTTTTTAAAGTTTTACAAAAAAGTTTTTCCTAAACTGAAAAAATATTTATTTAATCGGTTAATTAATTATTATTAAATAAATATTATTTGTGTAATCAAAGTAATCAAACAGAAAGCGTTTCTTCTCACAATAAACTAATTTAAACAAGAATAACCTTTTCCTTCCCCCCAATTAAGAAAGGAAGCACACCTCTATATATAGAAAGAAAAAAGAAATTAAGAAAAATTTCTTCGGAAAAATCGGACAATGTTCGAAGAAATAAAGACAAAAAAAATGAAGCACGTTTCACTGAAATCGTCTTCGGTAAATTTGGAGCAAATCCGTACGTTTTCTCCACAAAAAAAAAATAAAAAAAAATCCGGATACGATTCGGACATCACGTGGCGGCTTGAAAAATTTCACACACAGTCGAAATTCGCCTCGGGTGCGATAAAAGAATTTCTCGACTCGTTTTCGGTTGCAGACAGTTTCCTTCTGAGAAAAGAGAGAGAGAGAAAGTGAGGAAAAGAGGTAAAGGTGATGGAGAGTTGAATTTTCAGGGGGTAAAAAGCAAAGCGATGGTTTGAGGGGTAAAAGGGGGAGGTAAGAAATGGCCGCGGGGGCGAAATCAGAGTGCGTGAAGGGTAGTCGGAGGAAAATTAGTGAGGGAGATACTTGGTTGAAGGGAAAAAAGAGGAAGGGGAATGAGGGAAAGGGAGAAGCAAAAGGGCCTGAGGTTCAAGAAAACGCCATGTCGAGAGTGCAGATTTGTCCTGAGGGTGTACTTAAGCTTGGTCGAGAAAATCCAGGAAATTTTACCTTAAACCCCGCACAAGTTCGACTCGAGTCGAAAGAGAAAGAGAGACAACACGAGAAACTTGAGAGATTCCAATTGACTGCGAGAGGTTCACGAGAGGTGTTTTCTATATATATATATATACGAGAGATTCTCTCACTCTTTGATATCCCCCAAAGGTCGATCAGTATCTTTTTTCCCATTCGCACCTTCTTTGTTTTATTTTTTTTTCTCATTGAGAAAAAGAGATGGAAAATTTTACTTGACATCATCGATGTACCAAATTACGTTATAGATCACAGTGTAACCATTTGTAAAGCCAAAGTCCAGCCATCGATCAATGTTCCAGGCTTAATCCGGATATAATTTCATCATTAAAGCACGGCCATGTTAACTCTCCCTCATCATCCTTTCTCTCTATCTCTCTCTTTCGACTGTTTCAAGACTAATTAACTTGTTTTTTTTTGTTGCTCTTAATAGCACTCAGGTGAATAATGATGATTTGATATAATCCGTATGAAAAATAATGCAGAACTAATATGTTCTAGGTATTCATAAAATATCTGAGAAACTGACCAGCGCCCGATTAAGCTAATTATTTGTATCAATTTTCTATTTAGGTAAGAAACTAGTCAGGGCCTTGTCAGTTTTCAAATACATTAAAAAATAATACATTAAAGACTTAGTTGCATTACATTTTTTTAAACTAGAAAAACTGTCGAGGCTGTTAAATCAATGCCCTACTTGGGAAAAAACTAGTCAGGGGCTTGTTAGTTTTTCTGTAAATTAAAAAAAATGGTTTATTTCCATTTATTCAAATTAGCAAAACTGTCGAGGCCCTGACTAGCGCCCTATAAGATTATCACGCGGTATTGAATCAATGCTCTACTTAAAAAATCCGATCAGAACCATTTTCATTTACATAAGAGTATAATTAATTATACTACTATGTTTTTTATTAGTAAACTCGTTTACATGTAAATAAATTAATTAATTTTTAATTAGTAAATATTAACGAATTCAAAACAAACAAAAAACATATTTCCCCAAAAAAAAAGAAAAAAAAGAGAATTAAAACGTTTACATATACCGCATGTAAAATGAAAATTCGTCAATTTGAAACGGAATCTCATTAAATGTCGACATGTTTCTATTGTGTTCGATAGAAAAAAAATAATTTTTAAATTCGCTCTCGTTACATTTGCACAAAAGGAAAAGCAATTTGATCCGGAAAACGTTTTGAAAACAGTTGATTTCATCGATATATATTCGACGCAATTTCACAGGAAATTTCAGAGAGCTCAAAATGACCGAACGAAACAATAATACATCGAACGACTGAAAAATTGTTTCCTCCCTCTCTCCCTTTCCTATACCAACCCTCACCTTTCAAAATCTATTTGCATTGAAATGCTGTCGAGGTAAAACGGTAAAAGCAATTCGGTCGATCGGATTCGACACGCGCGCGTATACGCTCAAAGATAACTAATACGTGCTCAGGCAAAAATCGTCGGGATATACGCGGTCAACTTTTAACCGGAAGGTGAGTGAAAGAAAGCTTTAGATTTTTTTTCATTCCGAATTCACTTTTCTTTTTTTTTAAGTTCTTTTAGTGTTTTAGAAACCGAGAGAAAAAATGAAGGTGGTAGACAAAAAGGAATTAAAAAAAAGGAATGGGAAAGAAAAAAAAGTAACAGAGAAGAAAAGAATATTCTCTTGAAACTTGGAAGAGACAGAGAGAGAGAGATCCTCGAATTGGAGAGAATATGCAGGCTGGACCAGTTAGTAGACTGCTATAAATATACATTCTACTCATATCCAACTTTGTTGTATATAGGTATATATAAATTTCTTGTGTGTGTGTGGTGTTACAACTGTAAATATATCAATGAATTTACGATCTTCTCTCTGATCCATAATGGTTTCGCGAGTAGATCTTCGTTTGGTATATAGAAGGGCAAACATTACATGTACGTCTCGCGAGAAGCACCTTTACAACTCTCTTGTGGTGTATGTTTTACGGAATTTAATTCTACCCCGCGGAGAAACTCATTCACAGCCTGAACAATGTGTTAACTGTAGCTCTTTACAGAGAGTTACTTTTTTTCTCTAAAAAAAAATTCTTCTAAGAAAATAAGATACACAAGAGTGGAGAATAATCACTGTTGTTTCTAATTTGTTGTAACAATATTTTCAAATTAAAATTTTTTTGAAAAATAAATTAAAAACTATTTACTTTTTTTTGAATTAGGAAAACTGTCGAGGACCTGATTAGCGCCCATAAGTGTGGATATCACGCTGGTTTAAATCAATTCTCTACTTAGAAAAAACTATTCAGGGCCTTGTCAGTTACCTGTATGTTAATAAATATAATAACTTAGTTTCTTTGCAAGTTTTTTTTTTGAACTCGGAAAACTAGCGAGGTTCTGACTAGAGCCCTATTTTCAAAATAAGAAAATAAAAAAAAATAAAAAATATTGCAAATTCTAAAAAGTGTGATGATCACATTCGAAATCACTTTATGAAATAGAAATATTAACTAGATTGTCTGAAAGGTGAAGGTCTGTCGTGAAGTGCTAAATCCGAATTTTTTAAATTCCTCTTCTCTCGCATATCATACGTTACATGTCAGATTAAGATCCAAGCGTCACTATATGTATATGTATATATTCTTCTCTCGCGCACGGCCCTCTGCTTATACAACCAGAATCACTGACGCGCCACTTCTCTTCATCTCAATCTTCTTAAAAATATATTTTATCTTTTTATTTCATTTTTACAAGCGTTTCTGGTCTTCTGCTCTCGATATATGAATTTCTCGGCAAAATGAAAGAAGAAAAAAAATTACAAATTGGTCTAACTTTTATAAAATTGATTCTATATGGATAAAAGTTAATTTAATTTTTCAAACACTCGTTAAAGGGAAAAATAGAGATTTAAGAATAAGAGAAGAAGATTGTCGAAAAGAAAAAAAGAGAGAAAATAAAAAGGAGAGAGAGAGGTGCACTTCTCAGATTACTTGGACTACGTCCACTATTGACAATTCAATTAAGCGGTCGTGAGTCGACTAACAGATTTCGTTTCCGCAAAATTGTTGGAAACATGTTGGTCCAACGAAATTATTAGTTGTTGCATCAAACTAATCAGAAGTTCAACTTTGATGTGCTCCACAGCTTTGGAAGAAACAGAAAAGGCAACTTCAAACAAGTTTACTGTTTCTTCTTATTTTTATTTATTTTCTTTTTTTTTGGTTCTATTATTCGAGTTATAGATCGTGTTCTACTATTTTCTGATGGTAGGTGGACGTGGTATTATCGGATTATTTGTGGCTCGAAAAAAATTACGAATTTAAAAATAAAGGTGTCTACATTCGAGCAATCTCTATTTTATTACATCATATCTTATTTATACTTAATTTAGGATTCATATAAGTCGTACACATTTTACGAGTAAAAATGAACTTGAATAGAGAGAGAAAAAACGAAATGTTTTACTAGAAAAAATGGTAAATTTTACAAAAGTTATTTTTTAATTGTTCCTCTATAATAAATTTAGTAACTGGAAAATTTCTTTTAAGAAAATAGGAAAGAAGAACATTTTTTTAAGTTAAAAAATTGTCATCTCACTACATATTAACTATATTATCGCAATTTTTTTTTGGTTCACCTGCAAAAAATTATATTGAATCTAAAAAAGTTGCCCTAGTAGCTCTTAATTTCGTGCAGGTGAATAAAAACGTGATAAAGTAGCATGAAAAACAGCGCAGTACTTCATGTACACGATATATTAAAAAAAAAGAATTTAAAAATTACAGAAAATAACTAAAATTAATATAATATTTACTAATTTAAATCAGTAATTAGTAAATCATTTAGTAATAAATTAATAATGAAATGAAAAAAAAATTAAATTTGTTTTAGCAAAAATTGATGAAAAGTTACGACATAGGTGGAAAGTAACTAAAATTAAGATAAAAGTGGTAATAAAATGCATATAATTATGAAAGTAAAACAGTTATTCAGTGCATTCTTAAGTGCTTTTTAATTAAGGGCATCGTAAAATAAAATTCCAGGGAATAGAGCTTCTCTATGATAAGAGGTGAATTTCAAAAAAAAGAAGAAAAAAATTTGTTGACTTTATTTGTGTTCATTTTTTTCTTTTTTACAAGAGGTAACTATTATTTACGTTCAATGGTGGCAGTTTACAAGAGTTAAATCCCAGCCAAGCGAGGATTTACCACCATTTTCTGTTTCCGTTCTATTTAGTTCAGTAAATATTTCCTCATAAACCTTTCTTGATATTTGATTGTATATTTTAAGATGAAAATGGTTAAGTGAAAAGTAAGATATGTTATTTACAAAAAGTATAACTTGTAATAACGAGAATATGTTTCTCTCTCTCTCTCTTTCGAACACATTTTTTCACGATAAAAAAAATTTCATTAAATTATATTATTATACATTGTATTATTTTATATAATTTTATAAAAACTTTATTAATTTTTAATAATAATTTTTTTTAAAATCAGAAATGGCTATTATAAATGTCAATAATTAATAAATAAAAAAAATGAAGATATATATGTATATATTTTTTAAGAGCCGCCCGCGACACCTTTTTATGTGAATTATAATTTGTGTCAGAAGAAAAAGTGGCGGGCGCAATGTATAATATGCACAAGCTGACGAAAGGCCGAGAAAAATGAGCAAGACAAGCGCGAGTGAAAAGTCGCGAAGCGCGCATTAGCTTTTAGCCAGTGACGGTCTACACTCGGCTTTCTAGTATAAAAAAAATGAAAGAAAAAAAAGAGCACAAAATCATTCGAAAATTACGCGTTCCCGGGCCATTAGCCCCTGGAGCTTGTGAATTTTTTATGTTGTTCTCTTGCCGTCGCGACCAAAACCCTCCCCCCTCTCTCTTTCTCTCTCTCTCTCTCTCTTTGCAACAAGCGTTATACTGTGACACGATCGCAAATCCTTCCAGTCCCTCGTACATTCAAATCGGCTTTTTATTTTATATCCATATTTCAAGAGACAACATATTTCAACGATACGTATCTTTTATTCATTTTTTCTGTATTTTTATAATTTTGTTATGATAAAATAATTTTAATAATAATA